GTCCAATCTCTCTCCATGTCTCTTACACCTTCTCATGTTATGAAAATACTTCATCATTGTTATCTATTACAGAAGTACTATATAGTATTCCCTAATGTCACTGTTCATATACTTACCCAACGAGATTGTCAGAATGGAGTTTCCATGATTAGCTTTGACTAAATCTGCATTTATCCCCTAAATCATCTGGGGAGAAGGAGGACAAAGAGATAAAACCAGCTCAGCCAAGAAGAAGGTAGCAGGTTCTATTACCTATCACTGTGTTTCCAGAGGCACTGGGAACAAAGAACAAAGAAGGCAGAGACACTGTACAACACTTTATAATTCTAAATACAAGCACAGGGTTCCTGGGTTACACAGGATGAGGGTGACATCTACCATGCCTAAATAGTACGACACACAATGACATACCAAGAGTATGAGATGGGCATTTTATTATACACTATTATTTTTTAGTATTACTGTTTACAACTGATGTCAACCTTTGCACAATTCATGTAAGTACCATTTTTATTAACAGCATTTACACGACTGACACAGAGGAAGCTGAAAAATCTCGGAAAAATACTAATTTCTTCACTGAAGGGCAGTTTGGGGATAACCGCTATTCGTATTCATTATAGACCAGGAAACAGTGAAAAGTAGATTTAGATAAAGGTTTTTTTGTGTGTGAAACAAATTGTCACGTAAAATGTATATATACTGGCTAAGCTATCAAGAGACTGGAAAGACTGAAAACAGGACTCCTCTGAGGTAATTAAAGGCTCACAAACGCATCGTTTGGCTTCTTCACTGCAGAGGCGGTTCAGTAATGATGGCCACAGACATTATTTATTTTAGGAAACAGAAGTGTGGTGTATACTTTAAATATGCCATTTATTCTTACAGACACACATGCTATTTAAGAAAATCAAAACCCCGATACATGGTTTATCAATTTTCACAGTGCAAATATTCGAAGACCAAGCTACCAACATGAAAGTACGGAGGGCCCATGATGGGGCCTGCAAGAGATGTGCAGTGGTACCCCATGACACAGTAATCTCACCATAGAGACCCCTAATAGGCGAAGAGGTAACAGTGCAATTGAGGAAATTATTAGAAAATGATGAGTGCTATTTATTTCCTTTGTTCTCTACATAATTTAACCGAAATTTTATAAAATTTTAAACAAAAACTGACTCAGGAAAATCCAGAAATTTCAATAATCAGCAGCACTTTGAAGTCAGTATGAAGTGCCTTTATGACGTCACTGAATGTGCGTAGGTACAGGTGTACGAATATATTACACACACATACATAC